AGTCAGAAGTGTGACGGGCACATAACTTGGGAAACTGGCAATCTGCATTCAACTATAGATTACGTACTTATGTCACACAAAATATATGGTAAGTTACAAGTAATGAAAATAGATGAAGAAGGTTCCAAAAGTCTTGGTAGTGATCACAAACGTATTAAGCTGAATTTTGCCAGAGAAGTAAATGCTGAAACTAGACAACATAATTCAAAGCAAACTTTCTGCAGCGACAAAGAGTTGGAAATAGTTGTTGAAAGAATAGAGGCAGCAGTTTCAGGGCAACGGCATACAGATTCGACCTATGAGAGCCTAACTAGGCTTTTTTCTCTAGAACTAGACAAAGTTAAGAGTAAACGAAAGGGGAAGCAAGGACATAGACCAAAAAGTTGGTGGGACAAAGAAGTGAAGCAAGCGATACAAAAACGTCAGGAAGCCTCTAGAGAACACAGGTATTCCAAGCGTAGTGGGGAGTCCGAAACGGAAGTAAAAAGAAAATGGGACAATTTTGTAACATGTCGCCGAGAGGCATCCAGTTTGATCAATGCGAAAATTCAGAGAAAGGGTGAGGAATGGATGAGTAATGTAAGTAAGAAAGATAGAAATGCTGCCAAGAAGTTTTGGGAGCACTTGAACTCACTCGGTGAAACAACGCAAGCTAGACAGAGGTTTATACTCTCGCATCAGGGAGATCAATTAGAGGGAGATGATGCGATACAATATATAGGAGCAGTGATGGAGGAGAAATTTCGGGAACGGGTACATGTGGAAGATAGGAGAACCGAAGGAAGTAGCAGTCCAGTTTGTGACATCGCGGATTTTGGACAAAGAGAATGGGAAAAGGCGGAACGAAGAGTCCCTAGTGGCACGTCGACAGGCACAGATGGTATCCCTATCAAGCTGGTGAAGAATTTGGGTCCTAAATCTAAGGCAAAACTAAGGGAGGTAGTGAGTACCATGATAACAAAAGGAAATATTCCAGATGAATGGAGGCTTAGTAGGATGAGTATGATATATAAGGGAAAGGGAGATAAGTCTGATATTAGGAATTATCGTCCTATAACCGTGACACCGGTTATTTACAGGTTGGTAATGCAGATTATAAAGAACAGACTGGAGGAATGGGTAGATTGCGAGGGCATACTGGGCGAGTTACAGAACGGGTTTCGAAAACAAAGAAGGTTGGAGGACAACTTATTTTCTCTAACACAGTGTATAGAAATAGCGCAAAAAGAAAACAGACAGCTCTGGCTGGCATTTCTGGATATCAAGGGTGCCTATGACAATGTGAACCAAAGCAACCTGTGGGACATAATGGAGAACTTAAACCTAGATGAAGGACTAACAGCACTATTAAGGAACATTTACAAAGATAACAAGGTGATTATAACATGGGAAGGAAAGGCGACAGGGAAAATAGAGATAAGACGAGGCCTTAGGCAGGGGTGCCCGTTATCGCCTTTGCTGTTTATGTTGTATCTGAGAGGATTGGAGGATAGACTAGAGAAGAGTGGGCTTGGGTTCAACCTTTCTTACAGTAAGCTAGGCCAAAAAATTCAGCAATCCTTACCGGGATTGATGTATGCGGACGATATTGTACTAATGGCTAACAACAGGACAGAGTTGCAGGAATTAATGAGCATCTGTGGTAGGGAAGGAGAGGAATTAGGTTTAGAATTCAGTAGCGAAAAATCGGCAGTCATGATTTTTAACGAGGATGAAGTTGAGAGGCTGAAGATACAGAATATTACAGTTGAGAGAGCTAGTAAATACAAGTATCTAGGAGTATGGATATGTGATGGTGCAGAATATCTCAGAGACCATGAAAAGTATATAATAGGTAAGGGCAACAGAAATGCAGCTGTAATGAAAAATAGAGCACTTTGGAATTACAACAGGTATGAGGTGGTGAGAGAGATTTGGAAAGGGGTCATGGTGCCTGGCTTGACTTTTGGAAACGCAGTGCTATGCATGAAATCCGAAGTGCATGCGAAACTAGAAATAAAACAGCGCGGAGTAGGTAGACTGGCTTTGGGGGCGCATTGCAAAACGCCAAACCAGGGAGTACAAGGAGACATGGGATGGGCATCATTTGAGAGCAGGGAAGCGGTGAGCAAGGTAGAATTTGAGGATAGGTTGAGGCTAATGGATGGGGAGCAATGGGCACGAAAGGTTTTCAGCTATTTATACATGAGGAGTGTAGACACAAAGTGGAGACAGCGCACTAGGAAATTAAGAGGAAGGTTTTTGGGCTATAGCGAAGATACGGAAGAGCAAGTCTCAGTTAAGAAGAAAGTTAAGGCCACAGAAAGAGATCGGTGGCTAGAGGGAATGCAGACAAAGACTGCTCTGGAAAGCTATAGATTAAACAAAAGAGTTATTGCCAAAGAAAGCATTTATGACAATTCTAGGGGAAGCTCATTGCTGTTTGAGGCAAGAACGGGTGTTCTGCGAACCAGAACATACAGAGTGAAGTACCAGGAAATTGATACAGTGTGCACTGCTTGTGGAGAGGAGGACGAGACGGCTGAGCACTTGATACTCTACTGTAAAGGGCTTCACCCTATGCCTACCGAAGACAACATAGATTTAATAAAGTCATTGGGTTTTAGAGACAGCGAAGGGAGAGTGGATTTCAAGACTGTAGAGATTACCAAGCAAAGATTAAGTGAATGGTGGCAGAAATCGAGAGAAAACTAGGTATTTTCTTAATCACTGATGGCAAGGGGGTTTCATAGCCTCACTTTCTTTGCACTGCGGAGTGAATATAGATTTCACATTTAAATATTCTAAGCTTAAATGGTAAAACAAAATGGCTAGGTGGCGTAAGCTACCGCCCGATCCAAAGGGCTCAGCCGTATTCATCCATCCATCCATCGTTTAAGAAGTTTTAAGGAACCCATGTTTAAGAGGTTGCAAGCAGTCGCAAGAGTGTGAACGGGCCTTGACGCGCGAAATTTGGGACGTATTGACTCACGAGAGTTTCGCCAAACCTTATCATTTCCACCAGGAATATCAAGCGTTTTGCATCAGAATGATATGAAGTACGCGCAATGTGAAGAGACAGATTGCTTTATTAATATCATTCAATAAACTTCGTCAGATTCGGCTCAGTGGCTTTACTATGGTCCTGCCAAACGCGGGAAAGACCGCGATCGTCAAAGAACAGGTGGATGATCTCGTCTGTTTCGTCTGTTAGTCTGTTGTCGTCTGTTTCGTCCTCTTTTGTCGTCTGTTTCGTCTGTTTCGTTTGACTGTCGTCTGTTTCGTCCTCTTTTGTGTTTCTTTCGTTTTAATTCAACATTTCGGAAAGGTTTTGCACCGCAAGAAGAAAGTTATCCCCAGCCATCATGTTTTTATGCGGCGCTTGCACTCGTCGCGACTGTTGATGAATCTGCACGGTGCCACCAACCCGTACTGTTAAAGCGTCGTTCACACACTTGGAACCGTGTAGGACCAAGACTTATATCGCCCGAACACACCGCTTCTCCGCTTGTCGCCCGCCGCCATGCTTTCTTTTCTTTTTTCGGCTTTGGCTCGGGATACGGAATCGGCCAAGAGTAAGACTCCTCCAAAAGCTCGCTCCGCCTCGAAGGTCAGACGTCATAGTGAAGTCCAGCGGCCACTGGCAGCGCCCGTGTTTCTCCTTCGGGTGATTGACAGGCCTCGGTGAGGTTTCAGCAAATGACTGCTCCAAAGGTGAGGAGCACGTGCCACCTTTTCGGAGGCGCGCAACTTTTTCGGTTGGGTTCACACGGGACACATCTTGTGCCCCTAGTTTCGGGACACAAGATTCGCCTACAATATGCATCGTGTGAATAGACCTTCAAGCTCCTTGATGTGTTTGTGTTTGTCTTGCAAGTAGCGTCAATACGGCGCTGTCTCGCACGGGAGACAAGAGATGGCGCAAGCGGTCGCGACGCATACTGCCGCCAACGAACGAACGAGCATACGGTGCCGAGAGCCGGCGTCATTAGGAGGCGATCTTTTCGACTCAAAAGCGGCGCGCGTTCTGCAGGCGGCAACAGCAGCGGAACCTAAGACAGATGCGGTAACAAAGAAGGACTGCGAAGCAGACGATACAAGTTCCCCGAAAGGAACAGTCAAAATATCCCGACAGACCATTTTTTCATCGATTATGTGTCCATGCAATATGTTTTATCAGTAAGGATGATAAAATAATGCATTGGCCACTGATATCAAAAAAGCTCGCGTTGCTTTTGAATACAAAAGATCGTCTGCTAATGACGCCGGCTCTCGGCGCCGTATGCTCGTTCGTTGGCGGCAGTTGGCGTCGCAACAGCTTGCGCCATCTCCTGTCTCCCGTGCGAATTGGCGCCGTATTTTTTGAAGACCGGTGGCTTCGCTGCGTTTCCATGGGAGTTAAGCCTTTTTCTTTCTTTACTTTTTCCTCAGGCAAGATCGCTCTTTGCAAATTTTACAAAAAAAAAAAAAAAATGTATCGCCTGTGGGCCACGCTACACAAAATCGTAGCACGATAGGTTAACAAACCGAATTTTGCGGTCGATTTAAAGAGCCTGGCCCCTATTCGGGACACCCGGTAGAGTTAGGCGTACACGGAGCAGACGACGTGGGAGGCTCGTGGGCTTGTCGTGCTGGCCTCGCACGTCGTAAAGTGGTGTACTGAAAGCTAAAGGGCAGGGAACCAGGTATTGCTGTGTACTCAAATGCCACACGATAGGCTTCGAGAACATATTCTTTACGTCAACAAATATCGGGATGGCCACCTATCAGTGCATTGTCAGGACTGCGGATGCAGGCCGTTGTTCGACTCGTGCTCAATACTGGCCAGACATAAAAACCAAACTGTTAGGGAGATAATCGAAGCGGACGAGATAAAGAGAGCTGGTGTAGGCTGTGGTAGTGTTACGTCCATTAACCTGTTTGATAAGGCATTGCAGTTCATGCGAGCGGCGACAAGACCTGGGGTTGGTCGATTGTGATAGGACCATAGCGTGCATATATGTCACATTTTCACGTTGATTAAACAGTTTGGAGTCAGCGCTCGTGTGTGTCTCGTCTCTTCTTAGTCCTTGTCTAAATGCGCTCCCACGGCCTTGACATCCCAATACCAACTAGCCCAGCATTCTGCATTGGTAAATATGTATATCCCTAGTTTTATTCCTTTCCTGAGAGGTGGTTCACGAAATAACGTCAGAAGCCTGAATCACCAGCGTGCAGAGAACAGGGTTAATTATTGTTTCTCTATCTTGTCTCAACATTCAGTATTGCAACCTCCCTTACGTATCAGGTTAATGGGGACTTTTCGTAGATCGCACGCAAGAGCTTGCAAGCGTTTTACACGTTTGCATGCTCCTGCGTGCGATCTAACTGTGATCTAACCTCTGGGCGCTAGCTCAGTGTTTAACTGAGCTAGCACCCAGAGGGCCCAAAATGTGCAGCTGACGAAAATAAGTACCTCATGCAATAGCTACGATGGTTCCCCCTGGCTGTGGACAGAAGAAACCCGAATATGCAGTTACCATTGTTTTAAACAACTTTAAATTTGAGAATCAAGCTCGCAGTGCTTAACTGCCAGTTTTGTTCCCTTGTGCCTACAAGAGAAAGCGAGATACGAAGAATCGTAGCCCGTATTGCGCACTGACTTGATCGCAAAGTTGAGAAGAAATTGACAACGGCTGTACTCTAGTTTTTTTTTATATATTATTAACGTGAGCTAGTTAGCTAGATCATTTTAATAATATATAGAAAAACTAGAGTACAACCGTCAGTGTCAATTTCTTTTCAACTTGGGGGATCGGTGGCCGAGTGGGCCACCGATCCAACTCGGAGCACTTGGAGCGAAAGCTCGCGCTGCAGAACCCAGGGAGCCTGGGTTCAATCCCCACCCCTAGGGGCGCGTTCCGATCTGGATGAGTATCGTACCGGCGTGCGGTCGTGTATCACTACTGCGTGATGCACGTTAAATAAGACCCCAGGCTAGAGGCTGTACCGCACTGGCTAGATTTCTCATCTACAGCTGGGAGACTCGTCGCCCGTTGAGGCAGCCCAAGTTCTAGGCTGCATAAACATACATACAGCCAATTTTTTTTTTTCAACTATGCGATCAAGTTGGTGCAAAATACGGGCTACGATTATCTGCCTCTCGCTTTCGAAAGCATTCCTGGGTCAACCAATTAGAGCGTGTTCGCAATGATAGATGTATAAAAAGGAAAAAACAAATTCTTTTCCTGGCGCAGGAATTTTATGTATATAAAGTATAGTAATTGGGTTATACATTAGTGCGAAACGCGTCGCCTGCTCAGAGCATTTTAAATTCTGACGATATGTTTCCTGCTTTGCGTAAAACGGCGATGTTGTACGCACCGCACTAACGATTGTGATATGGCATACATCGGACCGCAAGGTCGGGGTACGTGACGGGCAAAAACTAAGCAGCTCAACATTGACTGTTTCAAGTTCCTCACTACTAAAAGTTTAGGTTAGAGATTTTATTAAAGAATACTAGCTGATAAACTCTAGTTTAATCGGTCGCCTCCCGGTAATATAATATTTCCTTGCGCGTTCCGGTTCCTTATGCAACCTCTTTATATAGCCCCATTCCCATACGGTGTCATGAAAAAAAAAAGTGAGACTTTTAAGGTTTGAGTATTTAAGCCGGTCTTCTCAGTAATATCAGTATGTATACCTAAAGCGTTTCACTAAGCGGGTAACTTTCTCATAATAACCCTCAAAAAAGCTAGTTTTCCCACCCCTAATACCAGTCGCAGCTGTTGCAGTAGTCTTGACGAAATTGCTCTACTGTCTAGGTAACCATACCTCACATTTTCCCAGGTAAACTTTTGGTGCACAATAGGCATTCTTTCAAATATGGTTTTATTTTCAGTCTATGCACATTATAATAATAATAACTTTATTTCCATCGATTATGACAAAAGCCTAAAAAAAATAAAAAAAAAAAAAAAAAAAACTTCAGTAGGCAGCTTGACTATGGTTCTCGAGCACCTTCACTGGTCAACAGCAAGCATGCGGAAAATATACAAAAGACAACTTATACAGTAGAAACACGACCGAGGTACTGTTGCAGTAGAAATAAATTTTTCGAAAACGACAGATAGGTATTTTGAAGTCCAAAGTTAATATCGGCGAAGAATATAATAGGGAATTCCATCAGGGCCAGGGCTCTTGTCACAGTCAAGTTTCATTAGTAGATTGAGGAGACCAGAAACACTAATCTCTAAATCACGTAAAGCTGGGTATATACCATAAAAAAAAAACAAGAATAAATACCACTATCACGACTGAATACAGATTTGAAATAATCATTAAAACAATTGGCTATCTTAGTGAGTTTACTAACAGCATTACCTTGAATAGTAAAACTCTGCGATACATTACATTTTCGAATACTAGACGTCCAAAATATGGCAAGATTTGATTTCATAAATTCAGAAAAAGTCACATTAAAATATTTTGTTTTAGCTGTTAACAAATTTTCTTTTAAGGTTGTTTTCAGATATTCGCCTTCTTATAAACGTTGATGATATCATTATTGAACTAATTAAAAGGAAAATGTCTCAGTATGCTTCCTTCTGGAACACTTGACGCAGTAGATTTTAGAGTGGAAGAATGGCCGTTAATGTCAACATAACGCTGGCGAAGTCGTAGGTATAACTGTAAAAGTGATAGCACGTGTCCGCGGATGCCGTAAATTTCAAGCTTTCCGAATAAGGCTTCGTGACTAAGGCAGTCAAACACTTTTGTAAAATCTAGAAACACTTCTAGAACTATTTTTTTGGCTTTCTAGTACTTTATTGAATACACGTTGAATTAAACATCAAACAAAATGTTTTAACATGTTTTCATTTACAACTTCTGCTATTTTAAAACGGTAAAGAAAAACGTAAACGCAAGCACTTTCATAGAAGTACACAATATATGCAAAACATGAAACAATCGTCGATTCTACAGCATGTAGTTGGTCAGCCATTTCAAAGTTGCGACGATTTACTCGCAGTAGATCAGCAATTTAGCCAGCGTAGTACAACCGCTAGCCTGGGGATCTTTAACGTGCAATACGCAGTAGTGATACACGACCGCACGCCAGTGCGATGCTCACTTTTGACTAGGCGTTTTGTGTTTTCATACTTTGTTTTTAAATAAACCCTTTTTTCGGATAACGCTGCACCGTGTGGTACGTACTACAATAAATTGTTAAAATGTTGGCATTTGCTGAATTTCCTGCACGAGTCCCGTGGTACACCGTAATTATCTGTTTGTGCGTGGGGGATACGTTAGTCTTTCGGCTATTTTTTGTTGTCAATTATTTTTGACAACTAATCACTTTGTCCATTGACATGGATGAGCGGACGGCGCCGTCAGAATTCAGCATGAAATAATAAAAAAAAAGTTCTCGTCTTGTTTGTTATGTCGCTCACGTACTCTGCAAAAATAGCTTACTTACGTTTGTTTGTTTTTAGCTCGAAAGTGGTGCAATGCCTTTTCAGTTGCCTCAAAATAATGTGCACCACAAAACGAAAAAAAAAAAAAAAAAAAACAGCTGGAAAATTGGAGAATTTAGCCGCCAGCAGTGACTGAAATTGCACTAGGCAGGCGGCATCTATTGTAGTTAGCTGCCCGCTCTGTAAGGTTCAGCAGCGACGCCGTTGCGAGACCAGCCTCCAACCCAGTGAGTGTGCCTGAAAAGGATTCTATTGTCCCTGGCGCTGAGTACTTTTTTTGTTTGAAAGGTGTCACCGTAGCTTGGCAAACGGCGAAAGGTACACGCTGTCAGTGAGCCAATCAGCGCGTCGGAAGGAGGCACGTGACTCTATACTCAAACTTCCTAGTTTCGTGTAGTGCTATCGAAATCCAGGGCGGGAGAGAGAGAAAAACACCGCTTATATACGAAATTTGAGGGTACGGGTTCATCTCCGAGGGGTTCAGAAGTGACGTCTGGGGGACACCAAAAAGGGTCCGGGTAAGAGTTTAGTTCCTCCTTCACCTCCTCCTTAACTGTCTGGGTTACACGCTTACCCTTTCACAAGAATCGACGAAAGAATATAAATACTTCTGCCCGAGTCCCACTAGAGAATCAAACAGAAACAACCGACAGCGACGAGCCTCAAACCGGAGTCTTCCGCGATTTGGCAGACTTTCTAAACTAAAGGAAGCTATGCTCACACACGAGCATCATGCACGTGAGGGTATCTTTGCAAGGCTGACAACCACTCGTGCTTACTTCGCGAGCACCGAACGACTAAACGCCTGCCAAAGATACCATCGCGAGCATGCTGCGTGCGCTTGAGGCTTGTCGCTGTCGTTTGTTTCTGTTCGTTGCTCTAGTGGGACTCGGGCGTTAGGGAAGAGGACAGACAGCAGAGTTCTTCCAACTAGCAACGAACATTTACTGATTTCTCCTTCAGTGCGTGAACTTCTTGTCTTTCTTTTTGTCTTTAGTAATTATTTGTTTTTATTCTTTCACTGATTCCTGTATTTTGACCAGCCCACTTTTTGATCTTTGCCCTTCTTTGGTAAGGGCTGCTGCGTGCATGGCTTCCGTCACTTTGAGTGACTCAAACGTGCCGTAGCATTGACTCTTTGCCAAGGGGAAACGAAGTTCAGTACCTGCTTCGGTGACGGCGATATACAGGTGCACTGAACGCGGATGTTATTGGAACTTGAGCGGAAGCAACACGTGAGCTATGACAACGTATAGTTCCGCGGCTTTTGAAAAATCGCTCTCTCAGACTTCCTGCTCCAGTCAACAGATTCGTGCTACGCGATATTGAGGAGGTTTAACTATCCGCGGTGTCGGAAGATTAATCGATGCTCCCCCGGCGATGCGAAAAGGCAGTAACCAAACAGCGTGCAAATCGGAGTCAAATGTGTACGTATAGTCCTCACGCCTACTTCTGCGACAATTTTATTCCCCAGAACTTTCTTCTGGGCGCTGTCTTTACAGTTTAGATGAGTCTAGTCGTAACTTCATTAGTGAATTGTTTAGGACGCGGTAACACAGCTAGTCAGAGTGTCGAACCGGAACTGAACCGAACCAAAATATATAACGTTAACCGGTTCAAGGCGGTTCATGTTAGTTTTTGTTTTCTTTGTTGTTAGTATCGTATAAAAAATT